AGCCGAAACCTAATTCTTTTTCTAAAACAAAAGTAGCCTATGTTACTCCCTATAACATCAGCTATCTTCCAGTGAAAGTCCCGTCAAAATCAGTCCAGCCGTTTCAGAGATTATCCGGAACAAACAGACACACTGCCAGACAGATAAAAATTAAAAATTTGTGTTTTTCTTATAAGTACCGTATATAATTTCGTATGCATTTAGTAAAACGCTGTTATTTCGACATTACAAACAGACTTCGATTTTATTTATCTGTAAAATACCTACCAAAATATTATATTGATAACATTCTTAGTTCTCATTGGACTTATTTTGAAAATAATTAATTATTATTTAATAAACATCCTTTGTTATCTATGGTTGTCTAGACACTGGATAGTCTTGACATTGACATGATCATGAAGTCTTTGTTCGTGAGCCTCGTATTTTCAACTATCACTAGCAATCTCGTAATACCTTTCTTAAACTCTTACAAATTTACATGGGCTTAATTAACGATGTTTCTCCATTATTTCCTTATCTAAAATATTAATAAACTGTACTTTTATTATACTTATACTTACTAAAATAAATTCTACGAAATATATATAATTTATATATTGTCGCGGAAATGCTTGTCCTGAACAAGGTGACATTTAACATTATTACGTTTCATGAAGGACTCTATTGTATAAGCTACATGCCCCTGGGGTAGATAATTCTAGGGAGAGCTCGAGGGTTAAATCGTGTAACTCCACATGAAAATAAGGTAATTAGCTTGTTCCATAGCGCCTTTTTGTCGTACTATTAAAGCTAACAGATAGTGTAAAAAATGTATATTTTATTATAATGAAAGTTTTACTTTGTAAAATATGAAAAATAACTCAATTTGTGAAATTTGTATTATGAAATGTCGTTTCAATGTACAAACGTTTGTTTTTTCTTTAGATTTTTTTTTTTGATTTTAGAAAATATTTTTAAAGTAAAATGTATATTATATCAAACGTATAATATTTTAATAAAAAGTTAAGTTTAATTCAATTTTCTTGTTAATGGCTTTAAAACGTGCCATAAAAATAGGAAGTGACTATTAATCCAGTTGCTGTACGACTAATATATAATTATTTGTCCTGCTACTTTATTTTGTTTTTTTTTTTGTTTTTTTTTTTAATATTAGAGCGTAGCTTTATGTTATTTAAGATTTGTTGACAGTTTTGACTCGAAAATTATAGGTGTCAGGCAGCATCAAAAGAATTGGAAGTGTCAAATGTTCTTTTTTTGATGACACGCTCCTATTTTTGAAAGAATGAGAACAAGCTAAATATATTTATTATGTGTCTCTTTCGATAGTTCTAAATTAAAGCTGGCGGTTGTACACTTGTAAACACTCATACTTTTTATAATAAATCAGTAACTGGATAAATAAAAAATATTAATCGTACGGTTACTATATCAATAGGGTCAGCCTAAAAAATAAAGTATGTTTATAATATGCGAAAAGTCACAAAAATAAGAATTGACTTGTTGTTGACACGAATACGCCTATTATAACAGACTCGAACTACTTAACAGGCCATTAACGTAATTTTATCTCATAAATCGACCGTTTAACTAAAGAAGTTATCACTTTAGTTTATTTATATAGTCTGATAAAGTTTGAATTGACCTATAAATTAGCAAGTTTATGCGAAATTGCCCATATAAAATAAAATCCAGGGGAAATCATGTGTAATTTTGAAGATTAATCTGAATTCAGTATTGCAATAGGAATACAGTAGGCGTATTTTTATATTATGTTATGTTCCTTTTGTCAGTGTTATTGAAACATAAGCTGTGTGTAATCTCCGTATCTTAAAAGTTGTGTTTCTCTCTTTATTGCTATGACTTGTTTCTGTAAACCGATCATTCAATTTATCCATAGTTTTAATTTCAATTTATCACTGCTAAATTTTAAATTCATTTCAAGTGTCTTCAATGTATTGCACCTGTTAACACAATTCTAAGCGATTACGGATCAAGATATTATGTTATATTTGAATGTATTATTTTAAAGAGGAAATTTACACAAACTAACTAGAAAATAATGTGAGTGTTCAAATATTAAAAGCGCCCCCGTGGACTACAGACTTTCTATCGGCCCAAAGTTAGCGAGTTGAGTTGCGGGTGTACCTATACAATGGTCCAACTAAACAGTTTGATCAAAGGTTAGTATGGAAACTAGCCAACTCAGTCAACTGTCATTCGAATAAATTGGTACTTATTAAGATATGCTTCAAGAGCTCAGATGCATGATGAAAATTAATGTAAAATTATCCAGAAATATTTTATTTGCTTTATCGTATCGTATTGTGTATTTGTACACGCAAAGTTCGCTAGAAAACCAGTGTGTTGAGAGAGTGTGTGTGTTTGAATGTAATTCCGAATGGAGTAGGCGTAGTAGGAATGTAGGCTTTATGGGTCATGTAAAGTGTCAACATCAATAATATGTAGGACCATAAGTGTTAGTATCCTCTTGTATAGTCTTGGTTAGTCTCTAATCACGCATATTCTCAAAGAAGAAGATCAATTATCTCAATTCATAGTTAATTTGTCCTCAAGTGACCGCGGTTGGTCTTCAAGCCGCCAATTAGTAATATGAACATGAAAAATTACTATATTTGCGAGTAGCTAAGACGTAGTCTCGTTTTTATTTTTGTTGTCCTAATTTATTATTTTATAATTATAAAAGATAAGATAAGATTATTATCATTTTAATATAAGATTAAAAACTCAACAAATAAGTTAGATGAAAGCTGGATAGGAAATACTTCGAACACAACTTCCCTTACACCAAGACTGGTTGTGGGGGAGGCGGCGGCGCACAAATGGCGTTTATTGTCCCTTACTGAAACAGGAGCAAGCTCTCTTGCGCGAGATAATTGCAGATCCGTATAAAGACATTAATAACAAAACGGATATGAAAGAGGGTCGTAACCACTAGTTTAGAAATTAGATACAATATTAAGGAAAAGTGTGGTTCCCGAGAGCTGTCTGTAGTCGAAGTTAATATTGTACACCTTTTTATATAAATTAAGAAAGTTTTATAGCTTATTAATTTACACAACAATTAAACAACAATTTTATTCTCATAAATATTATGAATAATGAATGTGACAATGTTAATGTTTGTTGGTTATTCCTTCAGGCAGCAACGCACTGCCGGGATATTTTACAGAGTCGATTCATCGATCGAAGGCTACTTTGTTCTTAAAGCAAAATGCACTGGAATGCAAAGTATATCATTTATCAATTTGGATCCCTGTTGGTTTTAGTTTATTGCAATTATTAATAATTCTTGCAAAAAGTTATCTAAGGATTCCTAATTCCTTAAGACAGAGTAAACTACGTTCTGTTTCATGCATGAAAGGGCTTTCACTACTGAAATGCCCATTCCTCTGACAACAGGGCGTTCTCTAGGAATGTCTTCCATCAAAATAATCGTCTGTGCCTGAGCGTTTCGTCAGGACAACTGCCCTCAGTGAACTCTGACTAATAAGTCGTAAGTAAGTAATAACCCACGCAGTATACTCCAAAAGAAGATACGAGCTTTCATGTGGCCTTCTCGAGGATTCGTCCATATTCGTCGGCAACGAAAAAATCACAGCTAGAGCGAAGCCTTCACACTGTTTCTTCACCCATAAAGTAGAACAGTAATGTGTTTGTGAAGTGAATTTTACTCTAAATAATACGAAAGCATAAATATTTTCATGGAATAAAATATGAACCTAAAAATATTAATCTTCTCGACAACAATGAGAATTGATAAAGCAAGGCAACACAATTATTTATTGTTGAAATTATGTAGACAGTAAAATGTTTTATAAGGGGAGTAAAGGCTCGCAGTAATTGGATTAAAATTTTAGCACTCGTTGTGGCTCCGGGTATTGATTTTTAATTTGCTTCAAATTAATAATCTTCAAAATAAGGGTTTAGGATTGTATAGTATCTGTTATAATTAAAGATTAAATTAATATTTTATGTAAGAGTGGGCGATAGAATTTGATACATTTCTTATTCCTTCTTATTGTGTAATCGTTACGTTACATACTCGTAGTTACGACTTCGTCCAACATATTTTTTTGTATTTATAATATTACTAACAGAACCGCTCGCGAACTACAAAAATACTTTAGAAATGTAGGTTTCATACAAACTTTCATTCCGCATTTTTTTTTAGGTTGTGTCATATAACGTCTGATCCCGTGGGAATGAGATAATCTCCCGCGGTAAAAAGTAGCCTATGTCACTCTGAAGAAAGAAGGACAAATAAACAAGCAAATAAATACATTTACACATTTATATTAGTATGGATTAAATGTTGTTTTCATACTAGGTGAATTTGACATATTTTTAAATGCTTCAGGAAATTCTCAGGGAAACTTTATTTACACCAAAAATTAAAAATACATTTATATCTTCAAAGTTATGACATTTTACTTGTATACCCATACTTACTTGGGCTTTTTGTGGAAGAAAACGAATAAAGAAATCTTATGTGTGTATCTGAATTTCATTGTGGAAAGACACTTATATGTTTTTATTATTCGAAACATGATACAGTGCTATGTGTAGTTTATATATAAGTGCACAGATCTGAAATCTCAATTTACGGTTAGTGATTAAAATGTACTTTCAAAAATATAACTTATTTTTATTAAAATATATAACATATACCTGTCTTGAATGCCTTTACAATTATAAAATGCTTAAATACTGGTATAGACAAATCGTCTTTGTACCTTTTATACTTTTATATATTTAAGTATAGTGTTTGAAGAGAAGACGTTCTTTATAAGGATATATAAACTAATCAAGCAATCCTTCAATACCGAAAACTGAATTGCCAATCATTATAATAACTGTATTTAATAAGAGAAAAAGAGATAAAGAGCTATTTTTTGAATAATAATAATTTAAGTAAATACCTACTTTATCCTTTACTTTACATAAAGGCGGGTAATTTTCGCGAGTAGAATAGTTTACGACTGCTTTAAATACACCCAGTTGGGTGGATGGGATCGTAGTGAATCTAAAACGCGTGAGAACTTTGTATAAATTTCCAGGCTCTGTGTGATAAAACATGGTACAAAGTTTCCATAGCCCGACATTGTGCGGCGGCAAATGGTGCTGTCGAAACCGTAGTGTGGGAGGCAGGTATTCCCGCCTGTTCTATTTGCACACGTTTTGAATGTCATTGTCAGGGTGCTAATTGCCAGCGACTGCACGCCCCCAGCGTCCCCAGCGCCCCCAGCGTCCCCAGCGCCACGCATCATGCATTTACATTTATAAATATATCTACTTATTTTAATGAACTCTATGCTTTCAATTCAAAACCACGACGAAAAGTTTATTTATGAACATTTAATGTAGTTTCAACTGAATCATCTCTGAATTCTTAGTAAAAATCATTATTGTGCTGCTTCCTGCTGCTGCTTTCCTGCTATGAATTAATTTTATTATCATTTGTTTTATGGTTAATGTTAAATATTTTATGTTTTGTAGCACTAATTATGAGCGATTATTTAGCTGATTACAATGATGCAGAAGAGACATCTTAAAAGTGCGATAATTTTGCTTGCAGTAAATGAGAGTGATCGTGAAAGGTCTGGCACGGTTCGGCGAGGACCGGTCGCCCTCGTCTCTGCGGCAGCTTCGAATTTTTCCACGTAGTTGACTTTGAATGTGCTTCCGGCTTGAGTTGCCTCAACTCGAAAGCAAACTTTTCGTGTTTACATTACTTTAAATTCTTTCAACTCATACCTTTGCTAGCAATACTTCTCATAGTATCATTTGCAGTGTACGTTTATTTCTTGTTTAAGGGAAATGTTTTGCCTTTTTACTTGAGGAAAATTGCACTTCAAACACTTGTTAAAATTTCCCCACGTACGTATTTGCACCGTTAAAATGATAGCAAAGTAAAAAATTTCCTAAGTGGAATGTTACGCTTTTATTTTATTGCTAGAGTAGCCAACGGGATCTTAAATTGTTATATTTTCAGCTCTAGGTATATACATATGTTTGATATTTATAATGGTTTTACATACCCTTAGGGATATGAAACGTTTACTTTGATAAGGTGGATCGAAAGCTCAAATAGGAAGAACTCTATTTCCGTTTCATTATTGCCTTGCTAAATTGCTTCTAACGACGAAACGTTATAGCAAATATGATTTAGCGAGAGAGTCGTATCAAAGGCTAATTACTTTACACTATGAATATATATCATTTTTAATTATATAATTTACATTTATTAAGCTTTGTTATTTATTACTTTAGATATGTTTACCATATAATACTACATTTTGTCGTATTATATAGTATTAATTAGTCTACTTACATATACACATATAATTTAATTTGAGATTGATTAGTATAATAACTAAATTGAGATATTATAAGTAATTTGTTGGCGACATGTTGTATGTACATATAATAGGATAACATAAATTATGTATTATTAATTAACAGTAATATTTTTAACAAAAATAACCTAAACGGTGAGATGAAATTTTATAAAAGTAATAAAATAAAGGAGTAATTTCGAAATTGCAACACTAAATATCAACGGGCGAGCCCGGCTTAGGTAATATATAGCGACAACCACTTAACGAGATTACGGCCGAAGGTATCTAGTTATCTTGACATCAATAAGCTACAAATCACTATGTACCGTTACTACATTAGGATGATGCACCACTTATTAGGTTAATTTGAGTAATATTTTATGAACTATGTAAAACATTAAAGCTGGCATACTCTTTAAACGATCGTTACAATAATGTTCAATTTTAAAGGAATTTCTTTTTCAAAGGATTATCTTTTGAGGAATTTAAAATTTTGTATTAAAATAGAAATTTCAATATGAAATTCTTTGGAATTTTCCTAAGATAAAAAAGTCAAAGGCTTTTTTCCTTTTGTTTAAGGCTCCATTATTCTCTTAACATCTATACATAGGTACTCGTATAGTAAAATTGTAACTAAATCGAATCTGTACATTAAATATTTTTTGGAAACTCTTATTGAAATAGACATTATCATCGATACAGAGGCCCAATCTATAGGTTTTAAAAATTTTGTCTGTCTGTCTAGGAACGCATCACCAGAAAACCACTAGACAAATTTTGATGAAATTTGTTATAATGGCAACTGGTTATCCGGGTCAACCTAGAGGATACTTTTTATTTATAATATTATGTTAACAAAAAATCTACTTTCAACATTTTGTTTCTAATTTGTAAGAAAAAATATATCGAACTTGATTAACATTTATTTTAAAGTATGATGCGTACCTATATTTATTTTAGGTGGGTACTCTTATATATCAATAATTATTAAAATAAAATTATTATTAAACTCATATCTTAAGTTTTAAAAATATATATTTTTTAATACTGTTCATTTTGTGTGGCGTATTCTTGAAGGAATTAGGAATATATTTACAAATAAAAAAGATAAGTGTTTGCGATTTAAAAAAGGTTGTTGTTATAAAAGCTAATTGATTTGGTAAAAATAATTCATAATTAAATCACTATAAACAGATTTGAATTTCAGCTCATAACTTTTTAGTAGCTATATTAAACTAAAAAAAAGTTTTTTGTAATATTTATTATGGAGCTTTATAAAATATTGATTAAGACCTATATATACTATTGATCAGAATTACGGGTTACGTTTCGTAACATAATACGAAAACGTAACCCATAAAATTATTGTTATTAATAATATTTATTTAGTAAATATTATATCCATTTCTATTATATTTCATCTATACAAATCCCAAACACATCATCTCAACAAGAATTTAATCCGACATATGCTATCAACATGGTTATTTTAGTCCTATTTACTAGAAGGCTTTGTCTCGTTGCTCTCTGATTTCACGCCTTTCAATTAACGAGTAATCATACACGTCCGGGACCCTTTCATTGAACACTGGTAATGAGTTTTCACCCTTCGACGAATAGTGGACATCGGAGTTTCAGTCACACCTTTTTGTCGTTTTTCCAGCGCCGACAAACTGAGCTCGAGCGACGTTTATACAGAAAGGTGGTTTTATTCGCTAGCATTATGCATGTAACATGTCTGCAATTTGCATGTTGCTAATGGGCAACGTTCGCCCAAAAACACGTCTACGAATGTAATATGGAAGTGGTTTCGGATTTTCTTGTCAAATAACGCGTTTTCAGGAAGTCATTAATCATTTCAGGAAGTTATCATATATTAATTCAAATTTTCCATGAATATAACACCACTGCTCCTAAATGCGATCTATTAATTATTTATATCAAAGGCTTTATAGCTATATATACGTAAGTGAAACCTGACCAACAAAAATCTTTAATGGCACAAGAGTTTGTTTGTGACGGCCCCAACCCATGCTCATTAGTGATAATAGCGACCGTTCAAACTCGATATACGAGACAAAATAACTTAATTATCGTCGGAGCTACAGACCTTTTGTTGGATATTTGATAGTCAAGCTAAATATTGATAGCAAAATTTACCAAAAAAATGGAATTTATTCAGTTCAGGGCTTTTTCAAATATTAAATTGAGCTCAGGTTTTTTATTACTATACCTTGAAATGTAATACTTAAAATAGAAATACTGATTGAATGAAAGATCAAATATTCGAAATATTATTTTATTATGAATTAGGGGAACAATTCTGAAAAAATACAATATCGTGTCGCAAAAAGTTTTGATTGGGTTATTGTAGAATGTAGAATATGGTAAATGCATTATCAGTCTTTCCATAGTATAAATTGACTGACAATTTATTTATTGACTTACGATATATACATGCTAAATTTGTATACAATAATCTGAAAAAACACGATAAATATTAAACTTGATCTAAAATAATCGTCGTAGTAGTAAAATATGAGAATGAATTTGTAATGCGTTACATTTAAGTATTATATAAGGAGATATATTGAGTATTCATTTTTCTTTTTTTCTAAGCTACATAACAACTTTACAACTTAAGTCATAGCTGACATATTAAAATTAGGTAAATACATAAAATACCCGTCCTCGATATGGAAATAAATTAAAGTTAATTATTTTCTGTGTTTTTGTATTTATTTAATAAGCATTAGTGAAAGGTTCACATTGAGAAACAAATGATAAAAATGGACGTCCTCATTTGTAATTTGTATAAGTTATTCTAAACTGTTGAAATATAATCTTTTACAATTCAAAGGAGTTTCAAAACTCATCCTGAAAGTGTTTGATAAAACAGAAACAAAAAGCTCATATAATATTTATAGCGGTAATTTGTTGACCCTAACAGCCCTCTTTTTATTACCTACGATCTTCTTTGGCACAAAATGTATTTTATATTCTTTGCTATAATATGCCGCGAGCCGCTTTATAATAAAAGAAGAAAAACATTGTAGATTGAGTATTGAAACGTCTATTTACATTACCTATATACACGCTCGTTCCCTTAATTAAGCAATTTTAATTGATTAAAACATTATGAGTTCGTATATTTACACATATAATTGCGATAATTATCGAATAAACAAAACAAAAATTTAACAACGAAACTGTGACTTTATAGTTATAATTAAAATGAGGCAGTTTACTGCGAGTGCAAAGTTCTTTGCAAGTGGGTGGATTTATAGCTCGGTACTCATCTCGGCGCCTTTGCTTGTGCTCCCGGATGCGTGGAAAACAGAGTCAACGCTACTGGAAGGATTGTTTGTAGAATTCAGTTGCTCTGTAACCTGTGATAATAAAGAGGATGTCAACACGGAAATTATTCTATATTACTACAAAATATTATAGTTATAAATAACTTAAAACATAAAAGTCCAGCAAAAATTAATCACACACATAAAAATTAAAGACAAGAAATCAAACCAAATAACGGTTAGTCAACATGTTAGTTATTTGTACACCCAACACTGAAACCAACTAAAACGCATGCAAACACAAGACACAAATAAATACCTCCACGAGCAACCGGGAGGGGAGGGGACAGACCAACGTGCAGCTACTTCATTCCGCTAGGTGTTGCGACACAAATGCTGACCTCCGGCTTTACTTACTGTGTGCTTTCTATGAGAGGTTTAAGAATAATGTCGAGAGTGTTGTCGTGTCGCATGTGCGCGTGCGCGTGCGCGAGGCGCGCGTGCGCGTGTGTGCGCGCCACATTAGCGTTGTAGTCTCGCAACTCCCGCGACGGCCGGGCGTAGCGCCGTGCCAACGAGCCGCTCTCGCCGACCACTATGTTGTTGTTGCTAGCATGTCTCTGCGTATCCCAATCACATACACGCTTATCAAACTACTGCACACCTTACTGATATACACCATTACTGTGAATACTAGAATATGCATGTAAAATGTTTCACCCAAAGAATAAGGCATAGAATTAAAGCCCCATTTTAATAGTCAATTCGATATTTTTATTTAGAGCGAATGGAGTCTTTTTTATAAGAGTTTATAACAATAATAAATGAATATAAAATAGATGTAGAATGAATGTTTTTAGAAGATGTGGTTCTTCGGTAACATGGTAAAACTTTCATCATTGCTTCGCACTCGACGACCGGCATAATGCATTACCTGTAATCGCTGAAACCAAAGAAAAGTGCGCCGGCCGCAAATAAATTGTTTTATAGAATTTTTATCATAACTAAGACGCTACCATTATAATTGTAACTCAAATGGTTGTTTCATCTTCGTAACATCTACATCAAATTGATATAATTTGGTCAGTTAAATTATCGTTTAAACTATTTCGCAAACTTTTGGGTTTGACAAATTATACCTACTAAGATGTATAATCCATTACTTCTCATCATCATAAAAGTATGAGCATATTTAATTTCATTTATTTCATAAGGGTACATACCCATAAAATGTAGACTGCGTTCGCCCTAACACAAAGTTCATAACTGAACCTTAATTACATATCATACTTAAAGCCCTCTAAAAGCAAAATTGTGTAATAAGTATGTATAAAGAAAGAGAAATCTTAATATAGTCAGTAAATTAGAGTATAGATTATACTATAAGTATTACTACTTTCAAATTATAGAAAATGTTTCTGTAAATATTCTCGTAATTAACTCGTTTATTTCATCTCAGTATGACTTAATCATTTATTGATGAAACCATTACGCAAAAGATTCCGTAGCCTGTACATCGTTAAATCTTTAGCGTCCCAGAAACTGGAGCTGCGGAATATCCAAGTTGCTCTTGTAAATTCATTTTTATCCGTGCCGTAAAAGCTTTACCTACTTTCCCTATATTTGTAATACCTAATATATTTAAAGAGAATTTCTTTAATGTTTTGTATTCCAAGAATAGGATGCACAAATTAATCGAAACCATTCATTTGTGTTTTTTTTCAACTTAAAATAAAAATAACGTCGAAATATTTTTCTTTTTTCACTGATGGACGTCGTTGTTAATCGTTAAAATAGAATGAAAATTTATAGACATTTACAAATACATATATTCAATCAATCATACCTTGTTCTTAAAAGGTTTTGATAAACATAAAAATACAAGAGCAATCGAATCGCAAGATTGTTAGAAAGCGAAGCGCCCACTCACGAAAAGGGAAAAGCCACCATCCACCGGAGTTGGGTAGCAGCGGGGCGCGAGGTCGCGCGGGCGTCGCGACGTGGCGCTGTCACTCGCGACCGACAGCAGTGATCTTTGCGAGCCGGAAGCGGTGAGGCGCGCGCGCCCCGGCGCCGCCGGCGGCCGCCGCGTCACCGCGCCCCCCGCGCCCCCCCACACCACCCGCGACCCCTCCGCACCCCCTCCACTGCCTACTCACTGGTGCCTGAGAACCACCCGCACCACACTTAGCACTGTCGCTCGACCTGTTGAATACACCAAATTTCACTGATCATATAGATAGTTATTCTTAAAAAAGTTGTGATGTTTAACGTAAAAAAATAACTGCGTGGTATTCTAATGCCTAACCTTATATGAATAATTTGCAATATTAAACTTATAATTGAATTTTCGGATAGTTAAAATTGATATTTGTATTTCATGCCCTGAAAGAATAATATATGTAGTTAAAAATTGAAACATTTAATATATTTACCTTTCAGAAGAATATGCATAATCTTGATCGGCACCGAGGCCAGAATCTGTATGTTCATGAGATACCCTCGCGCTTCCCGATATGAGCTCTCCACTAGAACTATTGCTGTTGCTATTTGTTACGGGACTGTAAGGGTTGTTGTTGTGTACAGGTGTAGTGCTGCCTTTATACCCATTGTTGATTAAAAAATCTTCGCCCGGTCGTCCCACAGGTTCATCGTAACTCGGGTAAATACGCCTAAAAGATATTAGGAATACCATATTTATGTATTACTTAACTCTTGTACGTATTATTTAGCTCTAATAATAAATGTCCTAAACGATTTCAGCCCTGGTGACCAATCTCACTTAGACTAGCTATATGCCCAGCAGGAGCATATATCAGTACACAAGCAAGTGCACTCTCCATTCCGTCCAAACTCGAATCCCGGTGGGACGACAATTTGACACGATCGGTAAGTCTTTTATAAGGCGCAGGACCAACCGCTTTATGTGCTCTCCGAGGCATAAGGGTTTAGGGTTCACTAACTTTTCAACTCCGGGCATTTTCTGATTTCTTTTTTATTTATAAAGAAAATAGAAAACCCCAATGTCTGTAATTAGTCCGCCTTGGGAATCGAACCCAGAATTTCAGGATCTGCAGCCATACACGCTAGTCACAAGACCAACGAGACAGTACTACCTTACTTAGCTTTATTTTCAAAGTGAATTTCTTTTTCAAAAAAGTATACTTAAAGAAGTTAAAAGTAAAAATTACAGTCTATCTACTTTACTAAATAATGCTTGTATTTACTGTTTATATTATCTATAATCAAAAGTCATTCTATGCTTTAGTATTATATTATCATAACAAGAATTCGGAGTAACGAATTGATTCAATTCGATTTCCATTGCAACGTGTTTAATAACCGTACCTGTCGGTACCGAAACATTCAATTAGATTGATGCTAAGAATGTATAGATCACATTTTTAAATTTAACGAAATGGTATAGATCTTTCACTTTCAATAGGCTAAAGAGTTACAAGCATAATTTATGTTTATACATATATTGTAAAAAAGCAAAGCTCGTTTCAATCTGTTTAATTTGTTATTTATTGAGGTAATGGGCATGTTTCATGTTCCACCAACTAAATACTGTGTGTTTCCATTTTTAATAAATACCACAGTAATTCTTAATATTATTATTATAATTACAGCAGTATTTATTTAAATAAGTGAAACTTTTTAAAGTACATTTATATAAAAGTAAGTCTTCTAATAGTAAGCATTCAAACTATAACATTCAGTTCGACCACAATTCGTACACTAATCCAAATCAGTGAGCAAGATTTTAATTATCCTTATAATACCTTCCATGGTTCTCGTTGGGCCGGTGCGTGCTGAGAGTGCTCGAGCTCGATCTGAGAGATCCTTGATTGTTGTCGTGGTCACTCTTGTGCGAGCTCTTCTCTCGTCTCGCAAGTGATCCGTGATCACCCCTACGTTATCATAAGATTGGGATGAGAACCCTTTATTATACTTACGTTTAACGTTTACTTATAATAAAGGGTTCTTAGTATTAACGTAATATTGCAAATTATTTACTTTATTAGAAAATATAGTTATTTAATGTGGACTACAATTACTACTATTGATATTAAAAATCTTTAGACAAAGAATAAAAGTAAGCGTAACGAAAATTCTTAAAATACATCAAATATCGAATTTTATTACAATGAAGGGTTTGTAGCATTAACGTAATATTACAAATAATTTACCCTATTTGAAAATAATGTAATTTATGTAATGTTGATGGCAACAATGATGAATATAAAAAAAGTTTTAGACAAAGGAAATCTAAAAGTAAGTGAACGCAAATTCTTTAATTGTATCAAATATCGAATATAACATACTGTTTATGTTTTGAAGATGTCCGAAGCTTAGTGTGCCTGGCGTGGCTAGTCTGTACAACTGTGTACGGTATTTCCTTGAGCTGTTCCTCAGTCATTCCTGTAGTGTCGACTAGAGAGAATTCGAGGTGTTGCTTCAATTCATTGGGTAGCCACTTCTTTTCATTGGGTGAACGAGACCTTGACCTAATGAAGAATTGTGAATTTATAATTTTTTATATTTTTGACTTAAAGGGTTATCCCAAATCAAATAATATTAATTAGACATAATCTATTCATTAAAACAGTATTCATAATCAACATTGATATATAACTCACGTTATATGTATGAAATAGCTCTAAATTCAATTACAGCTCAATCACAATTTCATTTGTCATAATTAATTTGATGCCGATTCAAATGTACATAGGTAATGATATATTCGAAAATAGTATTGAATAAGATGTATCGAAGTAAGTTTTTTATAGTGTACAAAAAGAAGTAATGTTAAAATTCTATAAATAACATCAACGTAATAAGAATTACTTTTTATTCTTCGTACAGTTATTTTGTATGCAGCGTTATTATATCGGTTTTGTATCATAATATTAATGTTAATACATAGTCCTCAGAAAGCAAAAGATTTTGTTTACCTATGCTTCTTGTGTCTTCGCGGTCTGTGAGACGATCGATGGGTTCCTGTGTCGGGTTCCATTTGAGAACGACGAACATTTGCTACCTGTATTACAAAAATCATGTCCTTAAGAAAGAAAAATAAATGTAAGAATGGAGTCTGAAAGTACGCTCTCTTAAGAAACTGTTTATTTTTCTCGATAAAGGCACTTACTTGAACGTTCCCGCCGGCGGTCTGCCTCAGTACTTCCTTCCACTGAGACTCTGACTCGACCAGCTCATACTCCCTGAATAAAATCATTTATTAGATCTCTTTATCTAGATATTTTTTTACCACTCAGGACAGTGGAAAGTTTGACAAATATTAACTATTACGAAGTTAAAATGTACATTAAAATTATGCTGTGTTTATTTGGTCGCTGTGAAATGAAGAGGTTCATTACGTTTTTTTATATTTGAAGCAAAATTAATTTAGAAGGCGATATTAAATGAATATTTTTTAATTACATTTTAATGAGTTCCGTACGCAAAGGTTCGAGATTTGAGACTACGATTTGTTTGTTCTTTCCATCTTTAATGCTCTTTCTTATCTTTCTTATTATGTATCGGTAGTTGGTTTTAAATATATTATTGGGGTGAAAATCATAAAAGAATAAAAAGGTAAAAATAAAGGGATAAGAAAAATAAAGGTTTTGTTTATTTGGGTACTTGGTTTGAGTATAGTATAAACTCTGCGGTAAAATGGCATTATTTCTTGTTTTAAGCTGCACAATGGCTAATCTTTGCTCCAAGGGCCAGTTGGAGACTATTTATGTTTTTTTAACTATTGTATATAATAAATGGTTATAATAATACTAGTATTCCAGGGTCGTACGGAACCTTCGATGTACGAGCCAGGGCGCACTTAGTCGGTTTTGAAATATAACCGAGATTTAATATTATAAAACATTAATTAAATTCATGCTGTTCTGTTTTTATATTGGTTTTTTAGTTATTATTTATTTACAGTGCACATCCATTCTTAAATAAAACATTTTATATTGACGCAAACGTTGAATGCTTAGTCAGAGATATATACGTGTAATATGTTATGTTTATATATTTTAAACTGATGAACAGATTTTAATAAATTTTGCATTCTTAAAATTGTCATCCAGATAACTGATCAGAAAAATGGATATGGACACATAGAGTCATATAAATTATGTTTTTTTTTTAAATATATTTTACGTTTTTCGTACATTTTCTATATCACCGAACATCTTGATTTGACTAATTTCTCGTCGGCAAGCATCAAAGACTCTTATCGTTTAGGTCGGTCCTCCGACAAACCTAGACCGATAGTCGTGAAATTCTCTGATGTTGCGGTGCGTAACAAAGTGTGGTATAGCAAAACTAAACTCAAAGGCACTGGTATAACACAGTCGGAGTTCCTCACAAAGAGCAGGCATAACACATTTTTGGAGGCGCGGCAACGTTTTGGTATTGGTAAGTGCTGGACACGCGATGGATACATTCATGTTATTGCTCCTGATGGATCTCGACATCGAGTAGAATGCAAAGGGGATCTTAACTTGATTCCCCTCGCTTCTAAATCACCTCCGCAAACCACGGCCGCTTCTAAGCATACGACGGACAAAGTGACAGTTTCACGAATAAAACGCACTGTAAAAAAATAATACATAACAATACTTTCTTTCTTTTTTAGTTTTCTGTAATGTGTACTATTTGTTTATGTTAAGTTATATAAACATAATTATGTTTGTTACTTGTTGCAGTCTGTGATCTGTCACTGACCACTGTTATTTTCACAGATTATATCATAAGTGTCAATAGACAACATTTCTTTATAGTTTTTATTGTCTATGATAATTTAATGGTTGTATCGTATAAATATTATTTGTTGTTTTAAAACTTTTCTTCGTTATATTTATTTAATTTAATTTTTAATATTGTATTTTTGTGTTCTGCCGACTTGATTTAAATTTTGTTAGTAAAGTGTCGATTCTTTTCTCTTGCAACTGGCGGGTGAGTAGGTACGAAAGTATACTTGCAAAGTTAACTTTTATTATATTATATTATTATTATTATTTATTTATTTTTGTTATTTTATACTATCATTATTATATTTATATAAATTAATATATATATACATATTTATATTTTTGATATCTTTGGTACGTATTTGACTTTTATTCTTTGTATTATTATATAAAAACATATATTGCATATTGGTTTAGTATATTATATTTATTTATTATATAGAACATACATATAAAATGATAAATGATTACAGTGTAAATGAATCTTTTATGTCCTTTCCATCCCCCTCTGAAGGTGCTAGCAGCAACGACAGTTTTCATAGTATCCTAACCCTGAATGAAACTCTCGATTTGCACTTCTCAGATGTCTTGAAAAATTTTAATCTAATTCATATTAATGCACAGAGTATTCCAGCACATTATTCTGATATGTTATCTGGTCTTAACAATAAAAACATACACGCGGTTTTAGTCTCTGAGTCGTGGCTTAAGCCATGTCTCCCATCAAGCTCGTATGGCTCCCAGGATTTCATTTGATTAGAAATGATCGCATTGGAAGAGGCGGCGGAGGTGTTGCCATCTACCTGCGTTCCCATATTCCCTTTTCCATTATAGACATGTCTCAGTCACAGGGTAACGTAGAGGCGGAACACATGTTTATTGAGATTATTTTCTCTAATATTAAAATACTATTGGGGGTGTTTTATAATCCCAGTCTCACGATTGATTATTTCTCCTCATTTGAAATCCTGTTAGACAAGTATAGGCCTCTCTATGATCATGCCGTGATTATGGGTGATTTCAATACTTGTCTTCTAAAGAACGATCACCGAGCTAATCGCCTCCGTTGCTTAGTTGATGGAGCGAATTTTAAATATTCTTCCATTAGGACGCTACCCATTACTTCCCAAATTGCAGTCCCTCGCTCCTTGATCTTATAATTGTTTTCTTCCACTGATCATGTTGCTAAGCATGGTCAGTGCTCTGCTCCAGAGTTTTCCTTTCATGACCTTATTTTTTCTATCTTATAAATTAAAGCCGCCAAAAAGCTAAATCAAGAATTCTTCTGCAGCGCAATTTTGGTAGTATGGACGTGGAACGTTGCGAGAAGACGCTGAACGGATGACTGGGGGTTGTTTCAAAGGCGGAAACCATTGATGAGCAAATGTCAATATTTACTTCACTTCTAATTGGGCTTTATGACATTCACGCTCCTGTTCGGCCTGTCCGAATGAAGCATCTTCCGGCTCCATGGCTTACCCCTGAGATTAAAAAACTGCAAAACAAAAAATATATGGCTAAATCGAAATATGCTGCAAATCCCAATGACAATAACAAAAGAAAATATATCAAGGCGCGTAATCGTTGCAATATGGTGTGTAGAGATAGCCAACGACGCCATATCTATAAATCTGTGATTGAAGAAGAAGATTCAGATAAAATCTGGAATTTTCTCAAATCTATTGGAGTAGGGAAGACACAAAATAATATTAATCCTCATAATATCGATTTAAATCTGTTAAATCAGCACTTCTCACTTTCAGGTACTATTGATAGTACAAAAAAGGTTACCACAATAAATCATCTTTCAGCGTCACCTACTTCTGATATTCCGCATTTCAATTTAGTCAATTCTCCATAAGTGATGTTAAGAGAAATATTTTGTCTATAAAATCCAATGCTGTTGGGGCCGACTGCATTAGTCGTAAAATGATCGTTCCCGTCCTTGAAATAATAGCTCCTACAATCACTTCAATCTTAAATTTTTCCTTATGCTCCCATAAATTTCCTACTTCCTGGAAAGATGGACAAATAATTCCTATACCGAAAAAATCTAATCCTTCTTCTTTTTCCGATTATCGTCCAATTTCTATTCTCCCGTTCTTGTCGAAAGTGCTGGAGCGACTTGTGCACCGACAGCTAAGTACTTTTCTTTACAATCACAAATTGTTAAATCCCTTTCAATCCGGTTTCCGCATCGGTCATAGTACGACTACTGCCTTGGTCAAAATTGCAGATGATATTAGAGAAGGTATGAACAGCCAGAAAGTTACCATATTGACATTATTGGATTTCAGTAATGCCTTTAATACTGTAGATTTTGATATCCTACTTGCCATATTATCTTCTCTTAACATATCTCCTGAGGTGATTGATTGGTTTCGTAGTTACTTGTGCGGGCGCCGGCAACGCATACGAATTGAAGATCTTTTCTCTGATTGGTCTATGGTTAAAGCCGGTGTACCACAAGGTGGCGTGTTGTCTCCCTCTATTATTTTCGATTTTCATTAATTCTATTCCCCATCAAATCTCTTCTCTCTACCACCTATATGCGGACGACTTACAAATTTACACAACGTCATCTGTGCCAGACTTACCTCATGCAATTAGTTTAATTAATAGAGATCTGTCCTGTATTTCAGCATGGAGTGAATCTTATGGCCTTGATATTAATCCTTCTAAATCACAAGCAATTATAATAGGCAGCCAGAGGTTACTATCAAAAATATCACGATCTGGGACGCCACCGGTTATATTGAATGGTGTCGAAATTCAGTATTCTGATAAAGGTAAAGAACCTGGGGATCATTTTTGACCAATATTTATCTTGGGCACCACAGGTAAGTGAACTGAGTCGAAAGATGTTTGGTGCAGTTTCCGCTCTTCGGAGGTTGCGAAATTTTTTGCCCATATCAACCAAAATTGCACTAGCAATTCACTCCTTCTACCAATTCTTGATTACGCTGATACTTGGCTATCTTGACGTTAAAGAGGAGCATCTAAATAGACTTGAGCGGCTTCAAAATCTTTGTATTCGGTTTTATATTTTGGCCTTCGTAAATATGACCATGTTTCAGGAATTTCGCAAAAAGCTCAAGTGGCTCCCAATCCGCCTTCGCAGGAATACTCATGTACTTCATCTTCTCTACTGCGTGCTGTTCTACCCTTCTTCTCCTTTCTACCTTAGAGAGCGTTTCCAGCTTTTTGAGTGATTCCCATACTCTTTCCACTTCGCTTCTAGTGAAACGTTGTTTGCTTAAAATCCTTCTCACTCCTCCTGTTTCCTTACCAACTCCTTCGCAGTAAAGGCTGCACGCTTATGGAATAATCTTCCAATACACATCAGGCGTGCCAAAAGTTTTGATAATTTTAAGGTACAGTTAAAATCATATTATTTATCTCTATAGTATCTTCTATTGAACTTTTTATACTTTTTCATCTGATCTACATTTATGTATGTATGCATTGTATTTATGCATTTATGTATGTATGTATGTATGTATGTATGTATGTATGTATGTATGTATTATGTATGTATGTATGTATGTATGTATTTATGTATATCTGTATTTAGGATATGCAATTGTGTGTAGTAAGTACACCGCCTACCATTTCATATAATTTCTCCTACGCCCTAAGGTTGCCTGGAAGAGATCGCTTATAGCGATAAGGCCGCCTGCTGTGCATCATCTATTGTGTATATCTTCTTTTTGTATATTTATTTGTGGTGTACAATAAAGCATCTATCTATCTATCTATCTATCACTACTTGTTCAATATATATGTCGGTAGAATATAAATAGAAAAAAAACTGACTTGGTGTCTGGTTGTGAGTCATCTCTTTCCGAGCCGGACTCATGCTTGTGTCGTGAACGGTGTCGTCGATGGCGACGTCCGGAACGACCTGAGCCACGCGATAGTTCGCTCTCGGCATCCGACTGCTGTCGCCTGGAGCGATGCCTGTGCCTAATTAAAATATATTATAAATAAAATGTTGTATAACTAAAATATTTTGTAAATTATTTTATAAATTGTAAAACCTATTTTATAGGTTTAAAATGTAAAACATACCCAATGCCACTCTATAAAAAGCACGTCGATTCATTGCTGTGTGAAACAAGGACAAACCAACAATTTCTTTTCCAATTACAACTTTCGCATACATAGTAGGTAGGTACTAATAAAGACAGTTGTCTGCCTCATTGGTCTAGTGGCTAGAATGGCCGTCGGTCCTGCGCCTGATCTCTGTGTTTGGCTTTGACAGTGGAAGAAATGTAGAGTACCATTGTGTTTACGTACACACTTGTACCTGTTGGCTAGTCTTTGCTTAATTGACTGCCGTGGCCTATAGGTTAATAATTACGTAATTCTTTCTGAGATCATAATGCAGTATATCAAATGCCTCCCAGGAAATATCATCCTAAGTTTGGCGTGAAAAAAATTAAGAGCGATTTTAATTAATCACTCTGTAAAAACTATAGTACATAAAACATATAAACAGACGTAAAAAACAAACAATTATTAACAACGTAGTTGTAAAGTATAAATAAACAATATAACATGTTAAACTAAACAAAATATTTAATTTTCTATAAAAATTGTTTTTTATTAGTATAAAATATCACAGACCAAAATTAAATATTTTCATGGATATTTATATAGATTTATTCGCTTACATTGATATGTGGTCTTAAAATAGTATATGAATACGAAAACAAATATATTTAGTTCATGCTCTACATTCTTTCAAATTCAATTAGCAGATTAGCTTTATTTGTATTAAATCGTGAGTCATTCGTATAAATTAATGTTAGTTAGTACAAAGTGGGCAACTTCTTTTATCCCTAACTAGAGACTCACCCTTGCTTGCCTTGTGTTCGTCCCTGGTTACGTTTTCACGCTTAGTATAAATTTCTTAGAGATAAGATACTTTGCCGCAGTAAAAAGTATCATATATGTTGACCCGAATAGCCATCTATCATCATGCGAAATTTCATCAAAATCTGTCCAGTAGAGTCTTTGAAGTGTGTCTTCTATTATGTGTACTATTAATGAGTGGTCTTAAGTAGATCAAACCAATTTAACCTCAAAGGTCTACTAGACTTTTGCTTTAAATAACAAAACCTTGCTTGCGGAACAAAGACAGATGATTTAAATCACTGATTAAAGAAAGATAATTTTTACCTCTCAATTAAACAAAGTAGGATGGTACAGATTCCGTCCAGTCTGCATATTTTAATGATCGAACAGGAAAGTAAAAGAAAGCTCATATAGCCTTTGGTCGTATTCTGGCGCCATACAGGGCTTACATAAACTAAAAAAACAATATCAATCTTTTTCTCTTAATTAAGCTTTCTAACTTCAAAAACATGTATAGGTAATAGCCGTAGAAAATAAAAGAGCTACCTATTTTCATCCTTTATAATATGAAGAAGGAAAATGGAACACGAAGTACTACTATAGAAATAATGACTTTTGCCTTCTGAAAAAAATATTCACAAAAGTGGAAACTTTCGACCTATTTTTGGACAGTGAATGAAGTCCAAAATTGGAACGTTGGTCCAATTTTTAGAATTGGGAAAAATAGGTATAGATAGGTATATAATAAAAAAAGAACTTACTTTCGATTAGACCTTGAATCGTTTGAGCTTTGTGAGTCGACCGAAGCGGAACGGTGTCTAGGTACTGGCGGTGGCCGGTTGGCTGTGGGCGACGCGGAGTAGAGGCCGCGGCGAGTGGGCGCGGAGCGGGTAGAGCGCGGCGACCCTCCCGGACCGTGATGCTCAATTGGACTCATTTCACCACTTATCCTATGATATTTATCATACTGTAGTTTCTATTCCTTATACCATATAAATTAAGTAACATTAACATAAATCAATACAAGATTATAATGACCGAAATGTTTCCAGATTGAAATGTGGGTCAAGGGCAGCAAGAGATATAAAGATATATTGCAATATATTATTTTTGAGTAGGTTGTCAATAAAAAATAGCTTTTATTTTAAAAACAAAGTAAGTGAAATCAAATAGTGTAAAACTTTCTGATATTACAAGGTTAAAATATATAAAAAAAATCAATTATTGTTTTATAATAAATAAGCTCAGATATAATCTATATCTAAACTTATTATTATATGAATAACATTGCTAAGAAAATGTTATTCCATTGAAAATTATTTTCACAAACTTTACCATAACATCTCATCGTTACAATGTTGATTTTATAAATCAACAAATCAAGGATAATTTTACCTAAGTTGTTGTGATCTTTTCAAACAAAATTGAAATGTACCGCAGATTCGCAGAAATAATCCCCGAGAGAGCGCCAAAAATATACGCGGCACAAAAAATAAAAGCGTACTTACGAATTAGGCCGGTGTACTGAGGTAGGTTGTTTAATTTCAGGGGGGCAGTCTTTTATTCTCAAATCTTCTAACTTTGGCACTGTAAGAAACAAATGAATTCACGGCGTGTTTTGTAATAATTTATGGTTGTAATTTTATGTAAAGTTAAAGGTATTTTAGTAATTATTGCTGTATAAAATGTACAGTGAAGTACAATATAAAAGTATATTATATTTAAAATATGTAAATAAGATTAATATTCACTTTTTGTACTTATGTTTTTTAAGCTCGGTTCAAATTATTTAGTGAAACAAAAATATTAAATAAAAATAAGGTGCAGTTTTAGTTATAAATGTAGCTAAAAGAATAATGAATGCGCTGGAAGTATATATCACCATCATGTAACGAGGAATAGGATGTATGTGGTCGGGCGTTGCGTCGCGAGGGAGTGCGAGTAAATGCAGGAGGCGGACGCGGTCGCGTGCCGCGGCCACTGTTCAACAATAAAATATTACTATATGAAAATTACCCAATAAAAAATAACAATATATAAAATACAGATTAAGAATGTGTAAATTATTTTAATAAATTACTCTCTAGTTACGAACATTAAAATGTTCATGTTTATCGCAGCTAAATATAAATAAATGTCTCTTATTCTTAAGAAATGCCTATGTACGGTTATTTTTCTTACTTTGGCTTTAAGTAGTTTAGTAGTAGTACTATAAAATAAATATAAACAAATTTTACGATGAAGTGTACATAATACTGACCTATTTCTCAGTCTTGAACCTAAAGCAAATATGTCCGCCGAGGCGGGTGAGGTTTGCTGTAATCTAAAGAACGTGTGATGATCGGAGCAACATCGCCACAAATGTCTACAAGCGGCTCTCGTCGGTGACTCAAAGCCATAAGTAGACGTGTCGTTCTGAAACGAATATCAGGGTCTTAACCACAAAACTGAAACACTCTGGCTCTTTAACTTTATTCAACAAATTCAATTTCAAACTCTCGTAAGGCTTTTACTAATTAAAGTTACATTTCGTTGTTGTTCAGTTTCACTTGTGGTGGATTCGTAAAATTCCTTTGGGGCTTAATGTTACTAAAGAAAACCACCAACTGAAGTCTTATCAATAAAAAAATTACAATATATAAAATATTGTTTTAATGGAATTAATTATAGAAAAATAAACACTCATTCGCCAAAACATAAAAACTTTTAAAACAAGAAAATTTTATTTCCTATGCAAATGAAAGACCGAATGAAATTATAATAAGCATCGAGTAAGATAAATGTTTCAGTTAATTAATAATATGCTAATGAAATTCGCAACGCCATAAAAAGTATTTTTTGTCTGAAGCCGGTTCTCGTATGTATAGTAATAATAAAAGCAATATTTCAACGTCTCCTTTGATCAATGTTCATTTTGCAAGAAGAATGTATTTTAAGGCAATTTCGAAAGCTTCCCCTATTTTTAATACACTTCAAAGGAACTTGTGTTTCTTGCAAGCCGGTATCTGTGGGCTGCGAGCGGTTAGCACGTGTTATCAGTACTCGCCCAGAACGCGGTAAATACTACGCTCAGTTCCACGCGACTTATCTGTAATTGCCTGCCTACGAATGTCTTTTAAGAAAGCTGCGGAAAAGGAGTCCATCTCACACAACTATTCAAAATGCTTCTTATCACTAAGAGCGATCCGTACAGACAACCGGGTCAAGAGTTTGTTCCGATTTCGACTTCCCGTTTTTTACTATATTTTTAGTTCTTGCTAAAATAAGAATATATGTACTTACATTCTTATCTGCCACACGAATCATAAAATATCGTCCTTTATAATAAAGCTTCGAGACACGCGGCCAATAATAGGTAGCGACTGTATGTTTTCCACGTAAGAGCAACAGGCCACTTGGCGCTAGTCCCAAGAAGTACTCCACACTGTCTTCACCCTGAATTTTTATCAGCTATCGTTATTTGTAGAAAATTTTAAAATAAATAAATAGACAAATAATTATATTGCGTAAGTTACCAAAACTGGATGGAGATCGACACCGTACATGTCTAGCCATTTTACTTTGTCTAAGTAGCTCAGCTCCGCTTGTGCTGGCGATATACCTCTGTAACGTAAATTAAATTAGTTTAGGTGAAATAGAATCCAATCCTTCCCAAAAAAGCACTCAAGTTAATTGTTTCTTTTAATTAATATAGCTACATTTATCACAAAAGCCTAACTGTAAATAGTCTCGTCGCGGTAAACGACGGTTCACTTCGAGTTAAGAAGGGAAGTACACGTAATTTGCATGTAATAGAGGCTTTGTGAGGTGCCAGCGACAACGTCCGCGAACTGCGTCTTTAATATAGTTAAAAATTCATTCAATTAGGCGAGAAAGGTTGAAAGGCCATTTTCCCGAGGCACAAGACGTCGACTGAAGTGCGTAACTGCCATTATACAAAAAATAGCCAATTAGAATTTTACTTAAGCAAAGTTGGTGTCTTTGGAAGGATTATTACACTAATTTCAAACTATATTTAATAAATTTAATTTATAATTACTTACGTAAGAGTTCGATGTATATCTGCTGCTCTAGATTCTAATTCAGGGGTTTGATGGACCAGCAGCCGAAATTCAGACACATAACCAGGCATATGCCTTCGTGGATCATAATCACCAAGTTCCGCTGTGTAAAATAGAATATTTGTTATGAAATATTTAAGAAAAGCAAGTTGTCTTATATATATATATATATATATATATATATGTATATATATATTATGAATATAGATAGATGGATGTCACGTTTAACGCTTTCATGAAAATGACAATTGTCACACTCATAGCGTATTACATTTAGCGAACCTGTTATAATGCCGACCATGTCTTTAACAAACCGTAATTAATTTAGTTAAGGCGGATGAAAACGTGTCCTAAATAAATACACAGAATGATATGTAAACACAAGTTGTAATAAGGAACTTAATGGGTAAACAAGGTCCCAAATAATATAACCATATATACGTTTGTTTGTGTTCGAGCACAATATTTGTTCCATTAAAACATTATAGTACTGAGGTTAACAGAATGCGAGCTAATTATCAAAGAAACTAAGTAAAGAGAAAAGGAATATGCCATATTTGTTGGATAGAAAAAGTTGCGAGTAGTCGACGAAGCTGACAGTCATTTCCCGTCGTATGTCTTTTTTTGCACACGGAAATCGCAACATCTGGCGCGCTCGTAGAAAACAAATCGACATACGTGACACATTTTGTATATTATGGTTTGCCAAAATATATTTTCCATATTTATACACGTAATTTTAGTAATAAAATTTACGAGAGACAATTGTTTGGGAGCTCAATTTGTCCAATGTTATTTTAAGCTGTAAATTCATGCTCTTTTACTTACTTTATATCATTGCGATACTTGACTGCTTACTTTATTTACGTCGCTCATAGTCGACAACAAACATAAATTTAAAACGACTATATTTAAACACTTCTGCTACTATTTACGGGCACTCTATGGAACAATACAACGGACTTTGAATAACAATAAGTTTAGTAACTAACAACTTATTTTTTTTAATATTTACATAAACTTTTACTAACGCTTAATATACAGTACATATAAAAAAGTAACATTAGAAAATTGAAGCAGATTCGTATCATCAAAGAGCGTATCGGTTTAATAAATAATTGTGGATTTCATCAGCCAATTTAATCTCCCAATGAGTGATTTGAAATCTGTTTTTCGTTACTGAGTGTAAATGATGTGTGTACAGACACATGATGCAGTGAAGTGAGCAAAAGCACTTTTGGAGATGTTGACATACAGTAAAATTTCTAGATATTTTCATCATAATCATTGTTGTGCTACTTTGGGAAATCGTGTTTCCAGTTAAGCGTTCGGGTGATTGCCCATCGTGTTGATTAATGTAAGGAGTGTTTCTTGAGCCGGCTAACTTGTTGCAAGGGACGCCCATTGTCTACATTCTCGGTACTTCCAAACAGAAAACGACTTCACTAAGAGCCGTCTAAAATAGATAGCCCCAAGCTGTGACAAATAGTATATCGTAGCTCACTCTTCAAACAACTTTTTTAAGCTCAAGTAAAGTTTAGAATAAAAGATTTTTCAAACAAGTTTCCGCATTTTATGCTTTTTATTGATATACTGGATATTGTAAATAAAGAAAAACATCATAGGTTTACTGAATACTCTGTATACACAATACGACGTTTTAAAGGTGTGAAATATACAAAATAAATAGTTTTGCATTATACTACAATATATGAAACAGAAGAAAATTATCTAGTTATACGGAGTATATTTATAACGTAAGTAAAAAGGCGACATCTCAAAAGCTGAATCATATGATCTAAGCAAGCAAGAAACACGATAATGAGATACGTAAAATGGATAGATTGGAATAACGACATATTGAAAATAAAAAAGACGTGTTCCAGATGTTCAAACGTGCGAGTAGAAAAATAATAATGGAATTAGCTGAAAATAACAGAATACAAAGTTGTTCCTTCAGTTTTTTAGAAACACTAAAAGCTAATTTTACTCAATTAGGGAAAGTCTATATAAGAAAGATTTCCACAAGATACTAAAGAAAGATCTAAACATAGACAGCTACATATAGAAAAATTAATTTAGTTATATTTGATACGTTATGATTATTTTTTTCCTAAATGCAGACGAAACCGATTTTTTTCACAGTATCCAAGTAATATTTCTATATCCACATACCACAGTAAAAATATTTACGATATTGACATTGTTTGGGAGCTCAATTTGTCCAATGGCATAGTAGTCTTGTATGGGCTTGCCCCTCGTTTTCCCGTTGATATGTGTCCCCCGGGCCCCAGGGGTTGCTGATGTAGGTGAAATTAGATGCAAACGATGCTACGTTGCTGATGGCTCATTTACCTCTTGAATAACGTATTCATATTATACTCGCTTGTGAAGATAAAGTAGTAATCATTTTTTGCGTTTGACTTTATGATATATGAAAACAAACTAAGCAGTTCAATTGTTTCTTTTACCCTAGAACATTGTTTATATTTCAAAAATTGTAATTTATAAAATGTGTTCATATCTTTATAATATGTTATTTTTATATAAATATAATTCCATATTGGGTACAATTATAAGAAATATACGAGTTCACATTTTAATTAGGAATAAATAAAGTAAGATTTATTCAATAAATATTGATAAATAATTAATTTGAGAAGTAATTAACTGAAGACATGATCTTCAAAGGTGGAAAAGACGTTAATTTCCTCTAGAGGCATAAAAACAAAAATATATCGCTTACATAAAATATAATTAGTAAACTATTTTTATCACAATTTAATATTACATTTAATAAGAAGGTTTTAGAAAAAACAATATAACCAGTTTTAGTCTATTTTTTTTGTAAATAATATTTATGGTTTTACATATATTTATAATATAGACATGTGCTCAGGAGGTATTAATATAGTTCACATGATTTTACAGCTAAATAGCAGCTTAATTTTACGTGACATTACAAAATGGTCTTAACAATAGCTACTGGTGGAGTGTAGGCGGAACCAGACCGTCCGTTGGACAATGCAGCCAATTGAATGAATTGGAAAAGAGATGTACATACTCGTAGCAACATATTACTAGTATTTTTTTAATAAAAAAAGGACTATTACAGATTTTTTATATAACTTGATAAAAAAAACACTAGCAACGAGGATAAAATGTAAATTAGAGCTTTAAAAGTACATTGTTCTAGGACCAGACTTTCAATTTAGTATATGTACACAGCGACAACCAAAAACGCCATACCGAAAAAAACATAACGAAAATATTCATAAGTAGAAACTAAGAATTATCTATGTCCAAATTAATATGTATACGGATTACATTTAACTATAATTCTTTAGATAATAGAAATGTGGGATTAAATATAGTCCACATTTTCCTCATCGTACAAATAGCGCACTGTTGCTATCAGGTTAACTGGTCATTCATTTGGAGGTAGTGCCTCTGGCGGTGAGTCAACGTCCTCGCTCGCTTCGGGCACCTCTGCTTTGTTCGTTATTTCGTTGCGTGTAGAGCACAATTATGACATGGAATGTTGAGCAGATTGGTGTTATATTTTTATTTTTAGTTTAAAGATACATGAAACTTTAAAACGAAATGGACTTTTCTGAACTTAATGCCACTAGCTTCATTTTATTTTACTTGAAACATACGAGTACGTAATAGTTAACAAAGAGTTAGTATACGTATTCTGGAACTGTTGTACATCTTACGAAAATGGCCACAAAAATATGACTTCACCAAATTCAGTTAAATTAAATAAATAAGAACATATAAATATATTTTTATCTGCAGTCCTAGTTGTAAGTAAAGGTTAAAAGATAGAAAATTTTATACCAACGTGAAACAAGAGTGCTGTAAAATAAAAGCTACGGAACTCGCCGTGCAACCAAAACCCTTTTTCAGTTTGATTTGTCAAAATATAGTGAAGCCAAAAAACATCGGAACTTCACAAACGGTAAATAAAATAGAGAGAAACTAAAAGTCCTCAGAGTTTATTTTAAAGTTTCGATTTTATCACATCCTATTGGTCTTTCCAATGTATATTTTAGTAGACCCATTAAGTTAATAAGTATATAGCAGTGTTGTTATCTGAACGCGCTTCCACGTATTAGCTAAAAACATATTTCGAAGCTTGATAGTTATGATAACTATGACCAAATTTGCTAATATCCTCCCCATTTAAAGCTTATCTGATTAGGACAGTAGAGACCTAACCATCTAGCCTGGGTTGCAGTTAACGGTACAGTATATATACTCATAGTTGATAGTACTTATAATCTGATACAGAGTGGACTCAAATGCAGTTGCATGATGTCGGTAACAGGTACAAAGAGAAATTAGATGGCTAATTTAAGAATATAACTCTACGCCTGGAACTTTGATGCTTTTTCATTTTCTAATGATTTTTTTGGTTATGAAAGGAGGCACGTAAGTAAGAATTGTTATTTATTATTAAATCATATTCATTTTATTTGCATAACTCACATCCTTTTAATTTGTTAGATATAAGTTGAAATTTCATGAAATTACATCCCCCTACTTCTTACTTCTTTGTTATATACGTGGGCGTTGTTGTAATTATTGCAATCATCGAATAAAATACAATACTTACTCCACTGTTCGCATCTTACAATAGCATGTTGTAAAAGTTTATTAATATTATTATTATTATTACTAATATAAATTTCAATTGGCGCTCAGAACACACTGCGAAATTCTTATTAGCATATTTTGACTTTGGGGAGAATGCTATTATTTTTTAATATATTTTTTGGTTGAACCAAACGAAACAGATATTTTAAATTTATTATAAACGAATATTTTTCTCAAAAGAAATGGAATATTTTTTGCATAATCTTGAGTGTAGAACGTTTTTACACCAAAAGAGACAGCTAATTTTCAGATAGTTGTCCATTCTTATTATGTGCCAGACTTTCAAAAAGTCAATAAATAGGTTGTTCTTTCGTGACTTAGTGACTTTCACGTTCGTAAAAGCAATAAAATATCTATATTTAGCCTTAATTTTCGAATCTTAAACCCAAGCTCGTAACCATGTAATCGATTCTCATGTAATGGAAGGTGAAAAATGCATACATAAAAAAACTTACATTGTAGCACGAAGGCGGCGAGCTCAGCAGCTAGGTCAAAGTTGACAGGCAATCGACCTCTCAAAACATCTTGTTTTAGTTGCAGAAATATCTGGTACCTGCACAATTTAAAGAAAACTTTATCATCTAATTTAAGATAGGTATAATATATTTCTTACATATTTTTTTACACTGCGTCGAATCCTTTACTTTTTATTACAAGCTCTCACTGAATAATTTACAATTCGCTAACTTTTAAATTAATATTTTTTTCCTCAAGAGACAAAGTAAAAGCGTTACGGTGCATAGCCCTTAAAGGAAAATTAAATATTAAAAGACCATCAAGGCAAAAAAAATCGCAAATGTTACCAGAATTAAGCTGCAGCCTCTTTACCTAAAGGGAAGACAGTTCTTGTTGTTCAGTTATAAGAAAGGGCGAGGGACGTGGGGCGCGGTGTCAACACCGTAATAACGAAATTTTAATAAAATATCCCGAGATATTTCTTTCAACTAGCTCAGTTTCGTCGGCGATGAGAAACGGGGACTCCTTAATATTCTACTACGGCGGCTCTAATGTTCAGTGTTGTTTTTATTTAATATTTCTAGAGCGAAATTTTATTGTGAAGAATTCTCAGATATAATAAGGTTATTATATTTTTACTTACAACGTAATTTACGTAGAAATATGAGAGTAGATATTATTAACTACTTATATTACTTAACTAGCCTGCGCGTCGGGATTTCGTCCTGAGGGTATCTTTCTGATGTAATGTTTTGTTATATGCGCTTTACTGTAAAAACTTAGTTTATTATTTCAGTAGCAGCTTCCATTTTCGTACTAAGGTAAAATAAGAGCTTTTTAGTCTAATCATAACTTTAAGCAAAAAAGTTTTAACACAATCGGAAAAGTCACATTGTGTGAAGCGCAATTATACAAAAATAGTCGAATATAAACATTAAAAATGTAGGCAGTGTAGGCTTCATTAAAAAAATGAATTTTTATGAAGATCTTTGATGATTTTAATAATTAAAAATAACTAGCGACTCACCCTCGCTTCGCTCGGGTTCGTTCCTAGATTGATTCCTCAAACAAACTTTCATCCCCATTTGTCATCGATCCCTTTAAGAGATGATTTCCGGGATAAAAACTATCCTTTGTCCTTCCCAGGGTCTCAAACTATCTTTCCAAATTTCATCTAAATCGGTTCAGTAGTTTCGGAGCTTATTTAGTACAAACAAACAAACTATCAAATCTTTCCTCTTTACAATATTGGTATAGATTAACCGTTGAAAGGATTTGGATGAAATTTGACACACAGGTGGACTATATTCTAGAATCTAGACTAATATTTTATCCTTGTAATAATATGCACTGTGATAATAGTTCTTTCTAATATAATTTTAATACAAATATATTATAATAGTCTTACATTTTTAAATATAAATATTTAACAACAAATGTTAATGTATCTACATTCTTGAAACAAACATAATTAAATAATCACATTTCTAACAAATAAAGGCATTTTAAAAAGCTTTTGCAACTTTTTATTTGTACAAAGCTGTAGGTGTTTTAAGTACAGTAATTTTATTGTCATAGCGCATTCACTTAGCCTGCCTGCGTCATGCTAGCAAGACCTTTATTATGAGTACACAAGAATATCTTTCTTTTTAGTAGTATTAAAAATGGTATAAACAACAATTAATTATTAAATAAAACTATCTTTTCGGATTATTTCTGAGAGACTCAGTCTCTCCCGTGACCATGGATGCTGTAAAGCATTCGAAACGTCGGGAACCAAAAATCAAAATAAATCCGCGAAATAATCCGAAAAGATAGTTTTATTTAATAATGTCAAACATTCGTGTAAATCTAAGAAATTATTATGTGAAACAATTAATTACTATACATTACTCTGTACACTAAAATTATATGATATTACTCGGATATATAATATTATGTTTCGAATCTATCACGAAGTTGTAATACAGATTTTAAAAGATTTTACTTTACAAAAAATATTTTTAGGCTGGCAAACCAATACGTATCGTTAGACTGAAAATATTTTAAAATACGCTAGTTAAATACTGTCAAACTATTTTAATTACATTTAACAGAAAATCAACTAAATCACTATTTAAATATGAATAATTAAATAATCTTAAGAATAATGCTACAACTTTATTTGTAATAGGAATAAAAGAGATTTTAATTAGACCTTTAAACTTTTTCTTTTTGGTCTGATTCAATGAATTCACCTTCTCAATATACATAAAGGAATAAAACGTACAATTGTATAACAACTTCAACAATGAAGTCTGTGACTTTAATAAGGATCTGTAACTTAAAAAATTGGCTTGATGCCTTCAAAAGGGGAAAATCCTTTGTGATAGAACAGGATTGTGTCCAAGTTTTGTGAGACGTTTCCTTCTACTAAAGAAGTCTGAGTCTCGAGGGTACGTAATCTTATCTAACATCGTTATTCTACAACACTTTATTAGCTTTTAACTCCCCATGGAAGTAATTAAATAAGATTCATTAATTTAAAAGGAAGTTTGAACGATTTAATTGTTATTTTCCGCAATTCTACCGCAAAGTTCTTCAAATGCGATGCATGCGCCAGACAGTAGTTGTAATAGCAACATGAGTAAGGAGAACAATATCAGGGACGCCTTGGTGCTGACACTACATACATCTCGAGAGATGTGAGTGAGCACACATGTTTTTTATAGTCAGATATCTGAAATTTACAATTCTGCTTATTCCGATAATTTGATCCGTAAGTCTCTCTGGGTTTGATAATGCTTGAAAAACAAGTTTCGTACATACATACATACACACATACCTACTCGGTGAACTATTTTTTAATTCGCTATTATGTGTTTTTCCTCTAAAGTATTAATGAAGAATTAAATATTCATAGCTATTAAAAATTCATGATATTTTATTATACAAAATTAATTTCTTATTTATACATGTACCTATATTTTTTAAACTGATCAATAAAATTACTTAATATAACATTGTACTTTACGATTTCAATCAAAAGTAAGTTTTGGTAGTTGTTGAAATATTTCGTAATATTAACGTAAGCATTATTTCGTATATTTACATAATAAATCATATTATGTAATTTGAAACAAAACTTACAATTGTTATCACAGAAGCAACAGTTTTAAAATCACTCAAAAGGTGATTGTATTTAGGATAGATGTATTTCTAGATTTTCAATCACAGGAGATAATAAAAAGTGGTTTGTCTTAACAAGACCTTAAGATGCGTCGCTACAATGTACGAGTACGATTAATACAAGACTCTACCATGTGCGAGAATCAAGCCCGCAATTTCCGGCTCTATAGGCAGTTTCACTTAGATCCATATACCGTAATTCAATGTTTCCATGCATGCGTATAAAAATTTAAATAATATTATAGCTTTATACTTAAACAATGCTCAATACTTTGCTGGCTTTCGGCAATTTCATATCTATATCTATAAATAAATCAATACAATACACTCTCGCATGTACAAATGTACGCGTATTTACATTTAAGATAATATGCAGTGTTTAAGCTTTTAGTATTTCTTAAAAGTTCAGTATAAAATTTTGTATTTAACTTTGACTAGTTTATCTCCTTATACTATTTCAAATACGAAGGTATGTATGTTTGTTGTAAGATACGCTGTCGCGTACAATTCTTATAAATTTATTGAAGTTAGTACTAAAAAAAATTGGTGTCATCATGCATAAATATGCACTATGGGAGAGCATATGAAAATTCCCTTATTATACAGATATTTGATGCATGGATTTCAAAATATTATGTATGGCTTAATTTACTTTTTTTTCTTGGAACTTCACATGGACCATACCGCAATATTTACCTATTATATAATATTTTTCTTAATAATTTATTATAATATGTAAATTACATTTAATAAATGCTATATTTTTAAGAAATCTGAATAATGAACATAATAAGAATAAGACCTAATTAGGTTCAAAGTTTGTTCCGAGGGTCAAGCGTTATTATTTTGTATAAAGAACGCTGCGTAATTCAATGCTCTCTAAAATAGTCTGGGACTATTTTACGTCAAAAACTGCTTTTTAATTAATTTTATAATCACCAGCCATTTTTAAATCTCAATAACCATTATTCAAAGGGAACTCAAGCGAAAGAAAGGTAACTTCGTAATAAAAAGTGCTTATTATATATTTTTTTTATAAATAAAACATACATTACCCATTTATTTTTAAGCTTAAAGTAATTAAAAATGTTGTATTTTAACTAAAGTGTATGTACATCGTAACCCAGAAAATTAAGTTCTACTTTAGTCATAAATATGATTATTAATAGAAGGAAATTTTAAGTAGATTTATAGATGTACCTCGTTATCTCTTCTAACAGTTTGCATGGGTCGGAGGCATAAAATTTCACTCCGAAGTAGAATGTGTGCGTATCCGAGCCACGAAGTTGGCGCCGTAATCGCTTGCCGGCGTCGAGCCAGTGCTGTTAAAACAAAATTATTTTGATGAAATGTGACTAAGAAAATGAAAACCACTGTACGATGATGTTAAAATGTAAAACTTATGATAGGAATTAAAAGTAGTACAGAATAGGAGTATTTATTGCACACGTACTTGTGAAATATAAATAAAAAATAAAATCAATTAAATGCGAGTTGGACTCGCAAACTGAGAAATAATATAAATGAAAATAAAATAATAATTTCAGCCCTTTTAACATCCCATTGCAAGGCACAGGCCTACCCTTAAGTAAGGGTGATCTGAACAATTAATGTTGATTGACCGATACCACGCTATGCGAAATTCAGTTACATATGCTTTTCTCAAACATGCAGATTTTCTTCATCGTATTAGCAAGCAGAAGTCATGTTGAAAATGACATTTGCACCTAAAGATCTTACAGGTAAGCAACATTACAATATGCCAATCCTTTTGGTTGTTATAATTTGCTATTATAATAATAACCATCCCCGACTTTTCAACCGACTTCAAAAAGGAGGAGGTTCTCAATTCGACTGTATGTTTTTTTTTTTTTTTATGTTTGTTACCTCAGAACTCCGTCATTTATTGACCGATTTGGACAATTTTTGTTTTGTTTGAAAGGGTATACTTCCAGATTGGTCCCATTTAAATTTCAAAAAAAAATAGCACCCGTAAGGGTGGAAAAACAACTAATGATGAATTTAACCTACTTCTAATTGTCATATTGACTTGAAACTTTGCAAGTATTTCTATTTCCGTTGATAGTACAGTGGTTAGGTGTTGTTGACCTGATCTGATGGTAAGGCCAGAAGGTGGATAGGTGGAACTCTTCAACGGCTAATAGTAGATACTTTGAGTTTGAGCTTATTTTGTTTGATTTGACAAGCCTAACACGTTAGAATCCTTACTTTGCTACTACTGTCTACACTAAAAAGGGAAAAATAAAAACTTTTTACCAAAAAAATAAAAACCGACTTCAAACAAAAGCACTAAAAAGTAAAAAATAACTGATTGGTAGTTTTCATTTACTATACATACCTAATCAAATATTTTCGAAGTCGGTGTGCTTTGCTTTGTATGGGCTAGCACCGATTTCGAAAATATTTGATTAGGGATGTATTTAATAAGTAGGCTTTAATTACTTAGCCAAAGGAAGATATTAGCAAGCGGAAGTCATTTTGAAAATGACATTTGCACCTAAAGATCTTACAGGTAAGCAACATTACAATATGCCAATCCTTTTTGTTGTTATAATTTGCTATTATAATAATAATCATCCCTGACTTATTACGTTTAGCTTTTTGTTATTTGTTATGTTACAGCAATATGTAATTGTAACCAACTACCTATTTATAAGTTCATACGCTACGCATGAGTAAGCTACTCTTATTTATATAATGTATGCATAACGACGAGGACGAAAAATCTCAATAAAAGTCTTCGTCGTTTATATCTAAGTAAAACGTTTTTGTTTTTACAATCTTAAAAAACAATATAATTATATGTATAGAAATAATTATGTCATGACGACACGTTTGGCTCAGTTTGTAGTGACCCTACTTGCTGTGCCAGCGGTCGCGGTTTCGAGTCCCGCTGGGGGCATTCATTTGTGTTATGACAAATGTTTGTACTCCAGTCATGGGTGTTTATATTTATAATATGTATGTATTTAAAGTTATATATGTGTAGTGTATCAACTATCTGGTATCCATAACACAAGCCTCGTAGCTTACCATGGAACTAGATGGCGCTGTGTGTTAATGTCCCAACATACATATTGTAGTGGGCACGTGTATCAAACACGCGACCTCTAATTCAATAGTCTAAGTTAGATATCTTGGCAATATGCCATACATATTACATCTAGTGTAAGAACTATGAATAAATCAACACACACTAGCTTTCTTAGTCTTTAACTTAAGATAACTAAACAAGAATATTCACTCGAACAATAAATCCGATGCACACTTACCGTCTGGTTATCTTGGTCTACATAGCGCAGACCAAAGTAAGCCGTCTCTAGAAGATCTAAGTGTCTGAATACCACGTCGAGTAGCGCTTGGCCTGTACTGTTATCCTGCGGACAAGAAAGGTATGTTAATTTTTGTCATACTGCACATATATTATTTATTATATTATTATTTTGTATAGCCAACATTTACAAGTAGTAACTTTTATACACATTAGTTATTACATCCTATTCTATGCAGTACCAATCCAATATCTTTAGAACTGCCAAGAATAAGTATTGCTGATATTTTCATATTGTAAGTTTTCTTTTATCTATACCAATATTATAAAGAGGTAAAGTTTGTGAGTTTGTGACGTTGTAGGTCGTAAATGTGGTAAGAAGATAGTTTGAGACCCTGGGAAGGAGGACAAGGGATACTTTTTATCCCGGAAATCGTCCCTTAAGGAGGTGAAAATGGGGATGAAAGGTTGTACTGGGAAGCAAGTAAGCAAGCGAGGATGAGTCGCTAGTTACTATATATAGTAATATTATAAATGTGAAAGTTTGTGAGTATGGATGATTGTCATTCTTTCACGCCAGAATGGCTGAACGGATCTGGATGAAATTTGGCACAGAGATAGATTATTGTCTGGAATAACACATATGCTACATTTTATCCCAGAAATATATACGGTTCCTGGGGGATAGATTTGTTTTTGGTTTTTAGAGTCGAACCCGAACAAGGCGAGGGTGAGCCGCTAGTGTGTAACATTTTAATCTCAGTATACTTCACTTGTTCAAAACAACCACTTCTCTTAAAGGTCCCGTACTTAAAAGGCAACATTAAAACGATTTTATTAAAGCCATGTTACGTCTGCCTATATTTTACAATTTTTATTACTCTAAGATTAAATTAGTAGATTGTAAATTTTTTTCAACGTATATTATTAAAGTTTGGAATAGTTTTTGAGAGTTGGAATTTTTTTTCTTTATATTTCAATGTTTGTGCACTTCTCAGTACGCATATTATTTTATAGTCACACTCGCACCTATTCGATTTATTACTTAGTAATTTATTTTCAAATAAAGTTGTTTATAAGAGTTACTTGATACCTATTCATGAAGACAAGTAAAGAATATAAACCTAACCGATAAAATTAGAACTAAGTGAAATTATAAAGAGGAAAGTTGCGGTGAGACTATTTCAAAATGGTACGCATTAATGTACATTTTGCAATTATGCTATTAAAGCTCCAGTTTTTCCAGCGTAGCTTTTCTGTAATGGTTACTGCAGCTTTAGTTTTACACGGCAATTTGTTACTGTACTGCATGAACGTGTGGCACACTAACATTTAACTACAATAAAACTCTCGAAATACTTTTTTATAGCTATTATTAATGGTATTAAGTTTTATACATTTATTAATATGAAAATAAATATTAAAAATATGACAATGAGAAAACGTGATCTATGAGTATTATAAAATGTGGTAGCTTTTTTAAAGTGTAAAAAAGTTAGAAAGCACCAAATGTAAATCGATCCCACGATACACACATCACTATCTCCAATTAGCATTTCTCGATGCCGGCTTTCCACAATTAAGCTCATTCACGCAACTTGCAAGACCAGTAGTCGATGAATACTGGCATCATAATGATGGGGATCGCATCCGAGCTCTCACGCCAGGACCTGCGTGCGGTGATCATCGCGCGCTTAGTGATCATTAAAGGAAATCCGTGATTGCTATTTATATTATGAAGATTTCGTGAACGATTGATTGGCAGATGACTCACAGTTTATGTGGTTGAGGCTAATGGTAGGAATAGCCCTTAAGAAACATAATAACATGTTTTCAGTATAACTTCAAAATGGACGGCAGGTCCATCCGACGCGTATATATCTTTCTAAGTGTAAGTATATGTTTTGTCCATCAAATGTGATGCGATAGATGGTATTTTCATCTTGTACGTTATTTGTATATTTATTGAAATTTGAGGCGAGGTTGATCAGATAGATATAAAGACTATATTATAATGATTTTAATTTTTTAACCTAAACGACATCTTCGTAACCAGAAAAATAGATACTTTTATTTATGTTTATAATAAACAAAACAAAACAATTTTATTTGACAAGAAGCTGACCGCGGACTTAGCTTCCTTATAAAACGTATTTTTTCGATTCCTTCGAATTGAATAAACTTATTGTTATATAAATTATGTTACGATAAATGCTTTATCACGCTACATTTAAATTTAACAAAATAGTATGTTTTGAGTTGCTCGAAGATTTTGTTTTAATAATTATAATAGTATTCCACGTAAGTAAATAGTATATTTTTTAATAATGTTTTGTAAAATTTTATTTAGGTTTCGGCTATTTAGGTGATTCTTGTGTGGAAACTTAGTATAATAGACATCTTTTTAAGCGATGTTATTCAAATGTTAAGTTTACGCAATTGAGGACGTCTCTATATATATAATGTATATATATATATATACATTATTTATATATATATATATATATATATATATATATATATATATATATATTATATACATATTAGCAGAACCCGCGGCTTCGCTCGCGCTAATACTACAAAAAAATTCCAAAAAAGTAGGTTTCATACAAATTTCCATCCCCTATTTTACCCCCTTATAGGATGAATTGCGAAAAATTAAAAGCATGTATTTATTTAATTGTAGTGAAGAGCATTAATACCAAATTTCAAGTAATTATGATCACAATTTTTTTTGGGATGTGTCATAACGTGTTTTCCCGTGGGAATGAGACTATCTCCCGCGATAAGAAGTAGCCAATGTCACTCTCCATTCTTTCAACCATATTCACACAAAAAATCACGTCATTTGGTGACTCCGTGAAAGTAAGACAAACAAACAAACACACACTTTCTTTCACATTTATAATATTAGTATGGATGTATGTAAAATATTTACGCATAAGTATTAATTATTTTTATGGCTAATTTTGGAAGACTGTCAGACAAAACCGCTGCGATCAATTGAAAGGGTTAATTAAAACTTTAAAAGCTTATTACTAAAAACCCATGTATGTACTCGTAATAGACTAAGGAATAATAAGTGTCAGAACTAAACATGAAGCCAAGCAATATTTTTTTATAATAATAATACATAATGTTTTAAAAGAGTAATAAATTAATAAATGTTATCTATACATATAATAAAATTGTAAATAAGCCAAATCTGTACATTAAATATTTTATTGAAAAACCTATTGAAATACACATTATCGATACAGAGGCCGAACCTATAGTTTTTAGAATTTTTGTCTGCCTGTCTGTCTGTTTGGGAACGCATCACGAGAAAACCACTGGACAGATTTTGATAAAATTTGGTAGGATGATAGCTGGTAGTCAACATATAGGATACTTTTTACCGCGGGAAAATATTTCATCTCTGAGAAATCTATAATAAACGTTAAAACGTTCCTAGGGACGAGTCGCTAGTCCCTGTATAAAATTTTCTTTTTTTTTGTACCTATGGCAAAATATTTGTACTATTTTTTTTGACTTTCATATTTATTTTGGCGGACTTCCACTATATAATTCTTTACTCTATCTACTCGAGTATAATACATAGCTAAAAAATATTTTTATATAACCCTTCAACAGATATTTTAAGAGTGACAATATTCGTACCGTAGTGAAAATTTTAAGAAATAAAATTATATCAAATGTATACTTATATCTATCATAAATCCTCAACCTTAGTTTTTACTCCAAGTTGAGGATAATAAAATAAAGCAATCTCTTAACCAAAAAGGTACAACTAATTATTCCACTTTTAGATATGGGAATTAATCTTATAATGTATTATGTACCTACTTAAGACGCTTCAAGTCATAGACTATTCAAGTTTGAATTTTCTGTGCTTTAAGGTCTAAACATGATATTCATAAAAAAAAGAATCATGAAAATACATTCACTTTGGGTATACACTAAAAACATACACCCGAATTTAGTACCTTTTCAAAGTTGGTTAAAAAAGTCGGCCGCAGAATAAAGTGTGTAAATTAGTATGGTCATTTGGTTTTTATTAAAAACTAGCGGGTCACTCTCGCTTCGTACGGGTCATTTTACAGGGATAAAAATAAAAAGCCTATGTGCTATTCCAGACTATAATCTATCTCTGTGCCAAATTTCAAATTTCATGCAGATCTGTTCACACATTCTGACGTGAAAGAGTAACAAACATTAATCCAAACATCTAAACTTTCACATTTATAATATAAGTATAGATAAATATTTTTATATCAATCTGACTTAAAACAAACTAGACTAGTTCCATTACTTTCATGGTTGATTGAACAGAATAAGTACAACTGTAGTTCCACGTCCTATGACATGTCTTGACATGTCTCATCACAATTGTCAAATTCTAATAAGAAAAAGATTGTGTGTGGAGACTTTAACATAAATATTTTAGAACAAAGTACTTTGAGTATGAAATTACTTAACCTTTTTACATCACACAATCTTTCCAAAATGTTTATGGAGCCAACAAGAATAACTGCCACTAGTGCCACTTGTATAGACAACATTTTTACCAACTTTACACCAACTTCTAAAAATATTATTAGTAAGATAGATTCTGATCATTGTGGTCAATTAATAAAGTTTAATATCGATAAAAATGTTGTCACAAAAAGGAAAATCTCTTTTGTACCAGTAACTACAAACCGACTCATTCAATTGCAAAATGACCTAAGTTGTTATTTACCATTATTAAGTAATAATTTAAGTGCGAATGAAATGTATAACCAATTCTTTAAATCTTTTAGTAAACTTTACAATTCGGTATTCACTACCAAATCGGTTACAGTTTCTGATACATTGGTATTTAGTGAGTGGGCAACTGCAGAGTTATATAAAAAAAGAGAAAAATTATACGAAATGTACGCAGAAAGGCAGCATAACACTAGTGAACGGTTTAGAGACAAAGTTAAATCATTTTCCAAATTATTTAAAAAGGATTGCGAAATGGCAAAGTCTCATTATCTGAGTAACAAGATAGAAAATAGTGGTAATAAAATTAAAGCTACATGGAAAATAATTAACGAGGAAACTGGAAAGAGTAAAACTCTA